TTGTTTTTGACGTATCTGACCGAACTACAAACTTTCTAGTGATGTCTGTGAGAAAGGTATATTCACTCGACAAACTCGCGCATCTGCGCTGCCGCGCGCTCAATCCACTCAGCGTGATTTGCTTATCAGCTCGCACACATCAGCTATACAGGCATTAATACTGAATGTTTAACATTATATTCATTGCATACATATACTTCGTATACATCCTTAATCTCTAATAACTCCATTCTGCTGTCTATTGTTCTGTTGTCAGTGTTTCTTTGTCTGAATATGGCACTTATCATGTTGTGTGGTATCGGCGTTTGGTATCGGGGCATTTTAATGAGTACAAGTACAGAAGCTCAGTATCGGTATTGGTGCATTCCTAGTATTAATATGCAAAACTGTTAGCCAATCATAGCAGTGGGCGTTCACTTGAATGTGCCCCGTCTATAAAAACAGACTGTTCTGCAGAGAGGGTGAAAACCCGGATACAAAATAGCCTATTATATCTAAATTATGATGTTTTTTGATGTAAAAATCTTGCTAATATTATAGGTGCATCACAGAGAACATTGTAAAATCATTTAAAAAATGCAGTACATGATTTCAATGATCTAAAACTTAACATGTGTGAAAGTCTTTCATCTAAATGATCCACAACATACAAACAACCTCAACATGGTTGAAAAACAAGAAAATTAAAGTTCTGAAATGGTCTAACATAAGTCCACTCTTAAACCACATTGAAATGCTGTGATAGGACCTCGGCCCTCATTTATCAACAATGTGTAGAAAAGGTTCTATATTTTGTCCTACGAATGAAATTTACAGTCATGGCCAAAAGTTTTGGCAGTGGCATACATTTTGTGTTTTGCAAAGTTTGCAGCTTAAGCTGTTGTGGTGTTCATTCACATTGTTTCTAGATTATTGTGTTGAGTGATCAGATGCATTTTAAATAATTGCTAAAAGCTTCATTGGCCAAAAAAATGAACTTTTCACAAAAACAAAAAGCAAAAACAAATGTCACTGTTTTTTTATCCTGACACAAAATGACCAGCTAACATTAATTGACTAATCATATCAGCAGCACATGTAAAAGTGTGAATGAGTACTAGTCAGGTGAAATCACTATCATACTAATTAGATTGTAAGAGCAGACTGATTGCTATAAAAGGAGGGAAGAAGTGCTTCCAAT